GCGGGGAGCCGTGCGCGGCGCCTGGGTCGCTGCCCGTGCTCGGCCCGGGGGCGGCCGCGAGGGGTGCGGGAGCTGAGCGCGGAGGCCTCGGCCTGCGGAGGAGCGCTGCTCCCTGCGCCCCGCGCCGCGCGCGTGTGGGCGAAAGTTACCGGGGGTGCGGGGTTGGGCCTGGACGCTGGCTCTGCAAGAGCTGCACGGTGGAGGGGGTGGCAATGTTGTGGGCTGGTCTTATGTCTTCTGAAACACTCCTCTAAGGAACGTAGGGCTCCAATATCGTTTTTTTTTTTTGCTGCTGAATGGATATTGGCTCACAGGCTTCTTGCTTTGCAACCCATTTCACTCTCAGTTTTACTGCCTTTTGAAAGTCTTCAGTCTACTTGCTGAGCAGGCTTGTGGCTTGTAGTAACTGATGCAGTCAGATCAGACAGCAAACTAGTTGTGGGCTCTGCTACCCTTAAGAGGCCTAATACAACACATGGTTTCCAGGGCCTTTCCAGGCACAGGACGGTTGGGCCATGTGCTGCAGTGGCCACTTGGGCCAGTGGCAGCACCTCTTCTGCTGGGGCTGGAGGGGGGATTTAACTCTGGTGAAGGAAGGAGTGAGCAATGTGGCCCAAGAAACAGCGCTTGTTCTGCGTTACTTCTCCTAGGCAGCTCCAAAGTGAGCGTGAACTTTGGTTAGTGTTAGAAAGGCTGTAGTGAACTGGTGTCCACGGATGTGTTGGTAGTGGCGTTTATGTTTCTTGCTAATTATTCATTGTCTTTTTTTAGTAGACACTGCTGATGGATGAGTTGGTGCATGACTTGGCCTCGGCCTTAGAGCAGACTTCAGAGCAAAACAAGCTGGATGAGCTATGGGAAGAGATGGCCCTAAGCCCACGGCAGCAGCGGCGGCAGCTTCGCAAGAGACGGGGCCGTAAGCGGCGCTCGGACTTCACGCACCAGGCAGAGCACGCCTGCTGCTACAGCGAGGCCTCCGAGTCGAGCCTGGATGAAGCAATGAAGGATTGCCGGGAGGTCCTGGCGGCCAATTTCAGTGACTCTGATGACATGGCGGTGGTCAGACGGCACCCAGCACTCAGTGCTGCCCTGAGGAGCAAGCAGCATTCGTGGCACGAGTCGGACTCCTTCACAGAGAATGCGCCGTGCCGACCTCTGCGGCGCCGTCGGAAGGTCAAGCGTGTCACCTCCGAAGTGGCTGCCAGTCTCCAGCAAAAGCTTAGGGTGTCCGAGTGGAGCTATGAGAGGGGCTGCAGGTTCAAGTCAGCCAAGAAACAGCGTCTTTCACGCTGGAAGGAAAATGCCCCTTGGACAACATCCAGTCACGGCCTTTGTGAATCAGGAGAGAACAGGTCCTTCCTCAGCAAAGTGGGAAGGAAAGAGCGGATGGAGTGTGAAGCTGATGAACAGAAACAAGGCTCGGATGAAAACATGTCTGAATGGTGAGATCTCACTTTCTTCCCTGTACGCAAGGCAGATGTCTGCCTTGTTTGTCACTGCTTGCAATCCTGGGTCTTACTTCTAGAAGTTCTTGTCAAAATTATTCAGCCTTCTCCTTTTTTTGAAGTGAGGAAATACCTCAACTCCTTTTAAACTGTAGATATGTTTTCAGCAGTCTTTCCTGTGGATGTAGTACCGATGACCCAAAACATATATTCTTTCAAGAACTGGCAAGCTGATCTGTCTCTGGCTCCTGTTATACAAGCAGCTCTCTGAAAAGTGTGGCCTTGCTGCTACAAAGTGACGTCCCTGTGGCCTGAGCTTTGATGAGTAAATCTGCTGCTGGCTATTGTGTTATATGATCAGTATGATCTGATACCAGTTTCTAATTTTCTGGGTTTATTGTTAATAGTAATAGAGAACAGGTCACATCCCCCATCGTCACCACTAGCCCTCTGTACAGGTGCTATATGAACCTCAGTCAAAACATTTGGTTTGGAGTTCTGAATATCTGCTCTGAATCTGGAATAAAGCCCTAGAGGGCTAACTATAGGAAGGTGTAGTTAGAGGATAAAGAAGTTGGAATAAGCTGCATTAATAACTTACAGTGTAAGTCTGCACACACACTGGTGTCTTGCATGTTTTTGTGCCCAGGCTTTGATGAATTTGTGGCAGAATCTCATACAAGAGATGGAAACGCAGATGTCATGGTCAGAACTCATTTGCATGTCACTCTTGGGAAGTTTCTCCCTTGAGTGTAAGCCTTTATAGTAGGTTTGGGGCTATAAAGCCTCTTCTGTAAGAAGAGAATTTTCAGGTTAGGAAAGAAACAACTGCTGAGAGGCAAATGGAAGAGACTTCTTAACGAATGGCTTACAGAAAGTGAATAGGGATGTTCTGTAAATAGTTATGATAAATAGTTATCCTCTAAGAAATGAGGTATTCAGGAGCCATTTAAAACAAGATGTTTTGTTGTCGTTTTATAATAGGTTTTTAGCTTTTTTTGTTTTTAAGGCTTAACAGAGTCTGTTAAGAGTTGCAGACCAAATAAAATAACTGGCTCAGGAATTCCTTAAACTGCTGACTGCTAGAAGCTGAGGGAGTGTACTGAGGAAATTGTCTGTCTATATTTGTCTTGTTCTTGCATTCTTTTCCTCCATTAAGATAGCCACTATAAGAGAAAGGACAGTCAATTTTACAAGTACAATTGTTTGATCCAGTATAATTGCTCATAGGTTAGGGTTCATTTAAGTTTTCTGTCTATCTAGCTCCTGCAGTTTGTTGAAGTGGACAACTGGTACTTGATTATTGAGGGTTTTGTGGATAATAGCTTGAAGTGTGAACTTCTCAGAGCTATTTTTTGAGAGACTGAAAAGCACAGCTGTAACAGGTCCTTTCTGTCCTGATCCAGGCACCACTATTGTGTTTTTACCTAGGCATCATGGTTCAGATAAGACAAAGTTTGGGGCCGGCATTTTTAAGAGTGTGTTTTGAGTTTTTTTTTTGACCATGGTTTGATAAAAGCGTTTTTATCTTTTCAATATTGCATGCTGGTAGTCCATGAAAGAAAATGTGCTTTGTAGTTCCTGAAGGCTACACAATGTGGTGACGGACTGAAGGATAACTTTATTTTATGTGGCAGTGATGGACAGTTTTCCTTCACTTTTTTTTTCCACCAGTCATACTCTATCCCATCATGTCAAACTTGAACTTAAACCATCAGGTGTTGATCCAGCCTTTACTTGTGTTGAACTTTGAAAGAATAAGCACACAGCTTTTGTTTGACTCTTACCTGAGGACCGTGTTGGGAGACTGCTTTGTTCTCTCTGTTGTCCCTTGCTCACTGACTAATCATTGTAAAAGTGTCTGCATCAAATGCCATTTACCATCTGCTGCCGAATCCTTGGGATTCTCTTTGGAAATCCAAAGATCAGAGTATTTGACCTCTCCAGCACCTCATGTGTCATCTGTGGTGTGACTCACTGGGGAGGCTCGAAGTTGGAGAGAGAAATACATACAGCAACCCTCCTCACTGCAGCCTGTCCCTCAGAGAATTTTCCAGCTAGCAACAGGGTGAAATTAGCTATGCTTAACTCGCTTTTGCTGTGCTGTAGCTTTTTTTCCTGATAAAATGAGAAGCACTTGGCACGGGTGTACAACAGGGACATATCCTGAGGAAGGGAGAAGAAAATTGGATGCTTAGCAGGAAGAATGGCAGAAATGTCATCACAAGCTGGTGGGAAGGAAGGTGACCTATAAAGCTTGTGGGACTTGCAAGTAGGCTGTGGTTGATCTCGTCATTTACGAAGTACTTTAATACTGAATTGGTTTCACTGCTGTTCATGCCTCTGGTGATGAGGAGCATCAAAGAACTAGTGTGTTTTTAGGCAAACTAAGTTATATATGATTCAGAATTGTTATCTTCATATTCTTTTTCCTTCCCTTCCCTGACATTTGTTTGTCCTTGTTATGTAGGCAAGAATCTCTGTAAATGCTAAAATATTCAGCGCTTTCTAGAAGCCTCCTTATCCTATGTCTGATCAAAAGCCTACTGTATGCAGTGGATAAAGTCCTAGTCACTTTAAAAAAAAAAAAAAAAGTTTGGATATTGATCCTTAAAGAGGGATAGTTCTGCATTCTCTTTATGGGACCATGCCCAGGCCTTTCCCAGGGAAAGATGTGCTGCAGTTTTGTGATTCAAAGCGTGTGTGAAATGGAGCATTTGGAATTGCTTCCCAAACATGGCAGCAGCGAACACAAACTGAGAGAACATCAGCAGGGAACAGTGATGAGGATCTGAATGCAGTAATGACCTGACTCAAAACCTAATACATAAATAATTGTGGAAACAATAGAAACAAGTGGTCTTAATTTAAGCAACAATCTGAGTAATTGTTCAGGGGCGACAATTAGTTGAGAAGCCTGTTAGAAATAACATGCCCTTGTGTCCTCGATGGGGTCAATTTGAAGACAAATTCTAAATAGAGTCCTGAAGTTCTCTATCTTGCTGATCTGTGTTGGGTTCTCTCAGAATAGTCTGGATTTAGCTTGAGGGCAGAAAAAAAACGTAGTCCAAATCCAACATGCCTGGAAAAAAACCTATGCTGGATGATGTGTTTATAAGTGGTAGATGTCGAACTTGCATAATTCTTGACTTTTTCACACTGGGCATTGTCCTGACCCACCAATCCTGCAGTGGCTTCTCTGGCCTGATGTTAATGGAATCTGGCCCGGCAGTGTAACCTGTGCTTGTGCTGAGTGTGCAGTCCAGATCCTTTACCCTTCGGAAGGGAGCTGGTTTGATGACAGCCTGTAGTGGCAGTCAAGAGCCTGGCTTCGCTGATGTATTGGAGGCCCGTCTCTCAGAAAAGAAAAAATTCTCCTCTCCTGGAGGCAAGTGACAAAGACAGAGTGTTCAGCTTCCCCTCCTTCTCCAGCCCAGCCTGACCTTCTGCAGCCCCTCGGTGCCTCTTGTTTTCTTATTTTTATAGAAAATCAATACCCCTCCTGACACGAACAATAGCTCAAGAGAAGGAATAAATGGGGGAAACCTGAGATCTCTGTCCATCACCTCTCACTTTAACTCCCACAAACTATTTAATTATAAGCGTGTTTTGCTCCAGGTGTTTGCGACAGTGAAATTGCTAAATGAGGACCATTTTAACCAAAGATTGGGTGATCAATAACACTCTATAGCAGTAGCTTGTCGGATCAATAGCATTCATTATTTCATGGTTAAGGTAAGTAGCCTCCTTTGCAAGTGGAGGTCATTAATCAGTGCTTACTGGACCTGCAAAAAGGCCTGTGTAGGAGTCGAGTTTGTGTTCAGCCCTGAAGTGTAAAGGAGGTGGTGAAAAAGCTGAGATCCATGAAAGTTCGTTCCAGCAGGGCACTGGCAATAATGTGTACCTATAAGAAACTGAAGAGCTCTCAGTACAACAGGATGCTTAAAATACTGTTAATGTGATCTGGAATTTTGACCTAATGCTTTTTCCTTTCTCAGGCACCTTTCTTCTGAGGATGCCAAAACCCTTATGAAGCAGTCACTCAATCCTCGCATCTGCTGCTTGTGAGGACTATTAATCCAGGCTTTCAAAAGGGAAAACAGACACCTAAGAGATTTGCCCAGGGTCATACAGTGAGTTGGTAGGAGAGCTAGGAATGAAACGAATGACTCATGGTTCTCAGTCCTTGGCCTTAATTGCTTTGTTGTGTATGTGGGAGGGTGTTTGGATGACCAGACTTGTAATGGATTGATTTGGAATTTGATGTTAACTTATAGCCTGAAATGATGTGCAGACTCCTCATCCTCTTAAGTTTTGGTGTATTTTGTAAGAACAATAACATATAAGAACAATAACATGCTTACATGTTTTGTAAGAACAATAACATGCTTCTTTGGGGTGATGATCCTTGCAGTTTCCCTATCCTCCCGCCTAGTGCATGTAGGGATGTGCTATTTTGATAGTAGTGTCTGGTATGGCCCACTTCCAGCCCAAGAGAGAGGGATCTAGAGATGCTCTCTAACAGCATGAACTGATCAGGCAGTAATTCTGGTGCTGAGTTATATCTGATGTTCACATCTCCTGTAAGGCCCCAGTGCTAAGGGTGTGGGCAGTAGGCAGTTGCCATTTGTTCTGATACCTCTCAGTTAAATCAAAGGAAGCATTGTCTGAATTGTCCAAGGGTTGGTTTAATATCAGCATTAAAGCCATCAGATGCTTGGCTTGTATTTTTGCATATACTCATCCAGTTTTACAGACAACTAACAGCTTTCTACACAATAATTTCTAGTATTTTTCAAACTTTCATATGGCAGCTGCAACAAATGCAAAGTGTACTGTAACTGGTGACTGCATTCAGCAGCAGCAGGTCACGCTGTGCCAAGGTATTTAGCTGAAAAGCTGCAAATGTGCCAGGCTGTCTTTCCACCAAAGAAAAGAAAAGATACTGGGGACTGAAGAGGGGAGGGTTATATATCTGCATAATGTTTTTGACAGAAAAAGATCTGAAGTAGAAAAATTCAGAGGGTGTTTTCTTACAGTTGATTTATGATTAAGTGACCCAAGGACAGACATTTTAACTGTTCTTCAGTTGCCTAGTGAGTATTCCAAGCAGTGGCATAGTTTGATTACTTTACTACCTGAGGCAAATGCTGGTGTGGTAATTACTTTTCCAAAACTTAGAACTAGAGTAGATAAAATATTCTGCCCACTTTCAAAAGATGCTGCTTTGCTGGGATTTAACAGAAAACTATTATGTGCCATCCTAAAGCTAGCCATGTATCTGAAATGCAATGTATACAATTTGGGGGAGATACATACAGTATTTTGGACTGAGATAAGTTAGTAGAATGTGAGAAAATCTTTTCGTTGTGTATCTATTGAAATTGTAACAATGGGGGGTTTTGTTTGTTTGTTTTTGTTCCAGTGAAACCAGCAGTGTATGCAGCAGCAGCGATGCTGGCCTTTTTACCAATGATGAGGGCCGCCAAGGTAACGACTGTCCTGTGGTTTTTTTTTTGTTTTTTTTTTTTTTTTTTCTCCTGGGGTCATGCTCTTGCTTTCTATGCATGCAGGGAAGGATCTAAGTTTGAAGGGGGTCAGGGGGTCAGAGAAAGGCCAGGTTAAATATGAGGGGCTGAGCCACTTAACTGCTCTTAAGTTAAGAAAATGAATTGAAAATTACAAAGGTATGATTTTGATAAAGTACACTTTT